GAGAAGAGAAGAGAAGAGAAGAGAAGAGAAGAGAAGAGAAGAGAAGAGAATTTTTTATTGGCCAAGTCTGATTGGACACACAAGGAATTTGGTGCATAAGCTCGCAGTGTACATAAAGAAAAAAATAAATACATTCAAGAATCCTAAGATACAACACTAAGTGATCGTCATAGGTTACTAATAAGCAATCCTATCATACTAGGGAACAATAAAACAATATAAATTGCTTTTATATTATAGTTTTTATATTACATTATATAGGAAAAACAAAACCAAAGCCTCTGGAATAGCTTTTCCTAACAAGATACTTTCCTTCCTGATGTGCTTGGCCTTGAACTGCCAGCCCCAAACATCTGGGGGAGGGCAGACCAGGGAAGTCTGCTCAAAAAGATGACAATTAAAAGGAGACTAAGATGTCCACGTTCCTGTCGTAAGTCAAGGACTACCTGTAATTTTACTGAAGAAGAAACTTTCATGGATCCAAAACAAAACCAGGCCCAGTTGGGAAGGCAGGTTCCCCAAAGCTGAAACTGACCACTTTAAATTCATCTTTAAACGTGGCAGTTTTTAAATATTTTCAGTATTTCCGTTTACCGTATTTTTCAGAGGATAAGACACTCTGAAATATAAGACACACCTAACTTTTGGAGTGGAAACCGGGAAAACAACAAACAGCCTGTTTCAGCTTCAGCGCAGCCTGATAAGCACAAACAGCTGATTGTTGGTTGGATGGGCCTCCCGACAATCAGCTGATTCAGGCTGCAGGGATTGCCATCTCTTATTGCCGCCTCCACGCACCCCATTTTCAGACCCCACATCCTGTTTTTGGCCTCCATGCTCCATTTTTGGCCCATTCTGGGCGGGGCAGATCAGAACGGGCGGAAAATGGGGCACACAGAGGCCAAAAATGGGATGCAGGGGGGGTATGCAGAGACCATACATGGGATGCGGAGTCCAAAAATGGGGTGCATGAAGGCCCAAAATGGGATGCGGAGGCCAAAAATGCGGTGTCCAGAGGCAGCAATAGGTGATGGCGATCCCTGCAGCCTAAAACAGCTGATCGTCGGGAGGACAATCCGCTGCTTGTGCTAATCAGGCTGTGTTGAAGCCGAAACAGGCTGTTTGCCGCAAGGAGAAAAATTGCTGGGAAGCGGAGGCCAAAGGGTGTCGGGTGGCAGGTGGGTGTGGCTGCGGCAACATTTGCTGTGTAAGACCCACAGAGATTTCCACCCACTTTTGGGGGGATGGAAAAAGTGCATCTTATACTCTGAAAAATACAGTAATAGTAACATAAAATCCTGTAGACCCAGAAGAGGCTGCTCTTCCCAGTCAACTCATGACTATTTATGGCCCTTGGTGCATTTATCATCAAAGTCCGGTGATTGGCTGAACCCTTGACTTGAGTTCCTAATTCCTTGCTATCTGATGCAACCCAGCCATCTCGACGAGGCTCGTCTGGGGAAACAGCCCCCCAGACCGGAAGACTCATCTACATATGTATGAACATGCCTGAAGTGTGTGAAGTGTTACCGAGGACTCTTTCTCTGCCCCCTCCCCTCGAGAAAGTTCAGGATCAAGGTAGAGGTCTTAAGAGCATCGAAAAACGCTCCCCCATGGGAAATATATCCGGCCTCCTC